CAGACAACAGATAAATCTCATTTCAGCCTCAGGGGCACTGACTATATTAGTCTTTGACTTTTCTCTATTGTTCACGTTTGTCTTCAATGATTAATTTGTTGTTACTTCAGCATCTCTTGTGTAGCTGAGACTTGAATACACCTGCCAGGAGGAAATAGGTGAGCCCTCTCTCTAGGAATTTACATGAAGGTTAAGAGGCCTCTTGGGTGGAGAAGGTGGGTAGAGGCTTGAACTATATGCCTAATTTATGTCAGTTATTCAGACATCTATGCAAAATTGTAGAAGAGACCAATGGAAACCAAGTTGTAGAGAGGGACTGAAGCTTCCTGAGGAAAAAGAATTCTTTATGAAGATATTTAGAGCCTGGTATAAACAGAGTGATTCAGCAATAGAACCAGAGAACAACAGGGGTGTGGTTTTACCAGCATGACAACTGGTACCTGGAAGTGCCCTCAACTAGCTATCTTGGCTGTGTGTGATCTGGGAAGGAAAAAGTTCTGTGGTAAGGGAAAGAGATATCGCACTAAACTTGGAATTTCTTTAGGATCCACAGCCCGTGGAGCTGTGTAGCTCTAGGTAGTGCAGGCCACTGGGGTCCCAAGTGTAGCTCAGAGTGGCAGCAGCTTGTATTGAGTAGCTGGTCCTACTGATTCAAGAGAACATATAAACCACTTATTTTGGACTTCCAAATACCTGGGGTGTAGGAGTAACTTTGTACAAGATTGGAATTCTCAGGTGAGAAGGTGGGGTGGGACGGTTGTAGCCTGTGAGATTCCAGTTTTGATCTTATGTGACCTCATTTGTTCTGATGGGCTGAAAAAACATGGATATTTGGGTGCACTGGATAATATCCCATCCTTTTAATTTCCCAGTCACCAAACCTCATCTCTTCCATCTGTATTACCTCAAAGGCCCCATTTCCTTTTTCCACCCTGGACTATCCTGCATGTGCCTAATGTACAGAGATAGATTAAAAGAGGTCAACATGACATATCACCACTAGCCATTCTGAAGATCGGTAGTCTTGATAGGCAGTCAATCAGACTCGTCAGAGCCATAGAAAAATCACCCCTCAAGGTGGCTTTCTCTAATTACATCAGCAGACCCTTAAGGAGGAGTCCTCCTTTCATTTATCTTGGCTGTTGAACCAAATACACCACAAAGCCTCAAAACGTACATTACCTTAAAAAAATAAAGAAAATCAAGTTAGGTGGAGTGTAAGACTTGGGGGGACACAAAGATATTTAGTTAGTTTAATCTTGACATAATTTTTAGAAAATGAAAGTTTCAAGTAGCTACAGAATTCCTCTGATTTCTTCCTGGCATTCACCATTTTCAACTTGCATTGATCTTGCCTAACCCAATTACTAAACAAAGATCTTGTTATAAATTAGGCCACATTTCTCTGTCCTTAAAAACTTGCTTCAGGGTATATCTGAAGGGCTTATCAGTCAATGGACCTTTGCATGTTTCATACATAGAATTATCTGTATACCTGCTGATACTCAAATTCTAGAGATTCATGGGGAGATGCAATTGATCACAGGGGTCCAACGTTGACCTGGAAATCAGATCACAGTTCTCATCAGGGTTCTGACGAGTGAATGAAGTTGGAGAAGCCGCTGAATTTCTCTTACATATGTAAAAAGGGAGTAATGATTTTATTAGAAATATCTCTAAGATTCATACTACTGCTGAAATACTGAACCGTAAATTTGAGCATTTACATAGTTGAAATAAATTAAGCTATTTTTGCCTCCTCAGCCAGGCTGGTATGCGGCAAGCAAGAAAAGGAAGGGGTGGAGTCTCATGAGCTTGAAAGAGATCTCTCTCAAGGAAAGGGCCATTTTCTAAAAGACCTACCTCATTCTAAAATCAGATTTACTACAAAATGAGCCCTGAAAGGAACCAGGGATCAGATCTCATGTCAAAGTGATTGTGCGTTTAAGGCAATGAATGCCAAAGCCAGCCTCTTGCCTCGCACGGCCAAAGGAAACAAGAAGGGAAATCCACAAGCCTCCCAACGTGAGAAACTCTATTTGTCACCTTCTCACATGTGCCTCCAAGCCTAAACTTGTCTCTCGGTGGCTCCATTTCAGTTGAGCACTTTTAGACCTCAGTCCAAACCCCTTCTCTTAGAATTTGGCTCAAAATATTGATAACCATAAATTTCCATATTTATATTTCCAATCTGTGAGGACTTAAAAAAGCTATCATGGAAACCAAGTACAATCTCAGAGAACAGACTGTGTACAGTCATCCCTTGGACTCCACGGGGGATTGGTTCCAGGATCCCTGGCAGATACCGAAATCTGCCAATGCTCTAGTCCCTTGTATAAAATGGCATAGTATTTGCTTATAACCTGTGCACATCCTCCCGTATACTTTAAATCATCTCTAATAAAATGTAAATCCTATGTACATGGTTGTTATACTGTATTGTTGAGGGAATAATGTACATGTTCAATATAGATGCAACCATCATAGGCCTTTCCATCCAGGTTCGTTGAATCTGTGGATATGGAATCCATGTATATGAAGGGCCAACTGTGTTTAATTTATACAATGAAACTTGGGCTGCGGCACCACTACTGTAACAATACTGAATAATTTAACTGAATTGTTTTACATTCTTCATGCTGTAAATCCTTTCTTTTACTTTTGTATTTTGGGCAAAATCATCAATTTAGCCTTGCAAAAAGGCTTTTGTTTTGCTTTTATATTCCCCTGTCCCTTTGATATCTTCTCCATTTCTTTTTCTTTGATTTCCTTGTTGCTAGATTCACTCCTAATTAGAAGAGTCACTGCAGCCGAAAGCAGTGACAATTTAATGGAGTGAAGCAGATCTACTATTTTGGGTGGAGGTAGTATAAAGTGGTTGGCAGCGCTTTCCACATTCTAGTTAGCTGGGCACTGGAAAACATTAACGCTTCCACTGTAACAAAGTAGAAGGTGATACATCTCCAGTTGACATTTTATTTATTTACTTATTTGTAAGTTCCAGTAGTGCTTAAAATGGTACAGTTGGAAGGAGCCATGCAGATCAAGCCTAATGGTGTTCTGTGGAGGTGTATCCATTCCCGAGGAAATTTTCATTTGCTAATGGGACCAAAAAAAAATAAGGCTCATGCAGTGAATTTATCAAACAGCTAAACTTATTTGCTTTAAAGGATGATCACTTACTGTGTTCTTCTCAACTTTTCAATGCTAAAATGTGTTTTCTTTCAGGAAACGATGGTACTAGTAGGTGGTAGTTGTTTTAACTTTTAATGTCTTTACACAGGAAAATGAAATACAGCAAATCTATGTCAGCACTCCTATTATAAATATAATCTTAAAAGATAAAGTGTGGGGACCACACATTTGGTCTCATCATCTAAGATTTCATTTTGATTTGGGGGAAAATGAGGCAGAGTGGTTACCTGGCTTGCATGAGGCCACTCAGCCAGTCAGTGCCATCAAAGCCACGTGGTCTTGGATAAGCTTACATTCTCAGAGTATAACAATGTGTGAGGGAAAGCACATGCTGTACCTGTCAAATTCATGGAGTTATCCAGAAACTACTGTAATACTGTGTTTGGTTTGTAAAGCTCTTGTTTGCAATCTTTTTGATCACATAAGAGTTACAGCTGACATCTGAAAAACGTAATTTCTCTCTCTCAAAAAAAAAAAACCAAGGCGAATGGTCCCTAAAGATTCCCTTCTTCGATGAATGGACTCTATCCTTGGAGAGGTCAATGTGGAGGAAAGATTGAGGGTCAGGCCACTTTTTGTGCAGATTATGATGGTGGTTTCAAGGCCATCTGCAGTCATTCACCTTTTCAACTGCATTTGGGTTCTATCTTTTTGTCTGCATCAAGCACGGAGAGCCCACTGGATGCTGTGAGAGGAATGGAAGGAGTACTGACAAACATCCCAATATGAAAAAAGATTTCAAGTCATTTTTAACACTGGAATAAAAGGTAGATTTCTGTGTCTGAGGTTTCAAGTTATCTTTGTAAATGGCTTTCTAATTGAATCAGCAAACCCTTAGGGAAGAGCCTTCACTTCCTTTCTGTTGTCTGTTATGCCAAGCACACCAAGAGTGCTCAATAAATAATGCTATATGGAGTACAGGAGGCCAAGGAGTGGGTGTAACATAGTTTGCTTTTGATTGTTCCTCTGAAAAAAATGAATTAAATGACAGAGTGACAGAAGGAGTAGGCAAGAAAGAAATATAAGCAGAAACTTGAGTGTGAGTCTTTATTTCACTCTTCAAAGCTTTACTACAAAGCCAATTATGTATTAGCTTTCAGTTCTGAAGTTTAGAAAATACAATGTTAGATACCACAAAGCCAATAAATAGATTTTCCAGAGAAGATATTGGTAATATTTCATGCTTTCTTCCTGATATAATATTCCCCCAAATGAAATCCATTGCCTATTATTATTGATATTGTGCTATCCTGGTAGCAAACTTGAAATGTAAGAAATAGGATTCTATTGACTATTTCTTATTAGTAAGGTTAATAAATCAGTGAAGTAGCTAATATAGTTGTCTCTTTTATCACTAGAGTGCTCAAAAGTTCAACCTTCGCTTTGCTCTCCTTTAGAGAGGCTGTTCTTACAGGTATTACAAAGTTTGGCAAGTTGCATGATGTCTTATTATGATCTGTCTGTCTCCCTCCCAGACAGAGCAGGGAGTCTATCTTCTTCATTTTCATATCCTCCAAGACCTAACGCAGCCCCCTCAATACGCCATCAATCATTGAGCACTTATTTAAGTGCCTACAAAGTGCTGGGGAGTGTGCTGGCCGCTGGGGATTAGGAGTGAAGACTGTCTAGTGAAGAAGACAGATCATTCTGGAAGGCATAACATAAAGAGCGAGAAGAGCTGAGCTAGGGGAAGTCGGGTGGGGGTGGATCTGTCTGACCAGCTTCCTAAAGGAAGTGATGTTGAAGGGGAAACCTGACTGATGAGTAGGAGTTTCCCCAAGTTCTCTTTTTCTTTGTCTTTTCAGGTTACTGGAAAAGCTGCGGGGTTTGCGGCTGGGAAGATACTGTCTAATGTGTCATCTGCTACAATGGTCAATGTGAAAAATGTTTCTACTTTTACTAATCCGTTCAGATGGTATCTTTCATGAGGATCACATGCTAACACATCTTCACTATTTAGTCTTATTGTGCAATCTTCTCACGCTCCCCTAAATTTGAATACTGAAGTGAACCTTGGTTGGCCCTACTTTATGGGTCCCAACTCTCCACTTTTGGAATCAACTTGTTAATAAATTCTCCTCTTTCCTACCTCAGGGCAATAGTAGGTGGAAGAAACTCTAATTTTAAAAGGATTACAACTGAAAGTTACTCTGACTCTATTGCTAAGAGGTGTGATCAGCGCAGTCATTTGCAAAACCATCTGAGCCGAGCGGGTCAGATTCAGGGGTGAAAGACAAATGCCTAAAACCTGGAGGTGTGAATGGTGTGCATCTTGTAATGTATGCATGAGCAGAAATGATGGCCTTGGAGAGATAAGCCAGCTCCCCTCTTATTCTGTTTACTGATTCCTGTCTGTGAAATTTTAAATTCCACATGTACTATAATGCAAACGATGGCGGAGGGATGCTCTCATGTCTCTCTCTCTCTCTCTCTCTCTCTCTCTCTCTCACACACACACACACACACACACACACACACACACAGACATGAGCATAGCCCTTTAGAGCTGCCTGCTTAACTTCTCACAGCAACTTCCTCCATTTGGGCTGGACTGTGGTCCCTGAGGGAAGCCTCGGCATCTGAATTTGGCAGGGAATCCCATTCCCATGGAAGTCAGGACTGCCCTCACACTCCCAAGGAACAGTCTGGAAAGGTTCTCACCCATTTGCCTCTGGCTTCCTTGGAGAACACGTGCACCCACCCTGGACCAAGGAGGGGTTCCCAATATTCCCCAGCTCAGGCAGATCCACAGGTGATTAGAAACTTCTTGCCTCTGAGTCCAAGGAAAATGAGATCTAGGTAAATCTTCACCAGCCCACAGCTCAGCCCTCTTGCTGCTCCATAAAAACGAATGTTGGCAGTGCTTTACATGTCAAAACTGTCCAAGTGGAGCCTGACCTTTGGGCCTTGGGATCCATGCTGAATTCATATCCATTTAGATTTGACCCCATTTCAAGTGTTCAGAAAATGTGAAAGAATTTTACAATAGCCCCCCTCCCCCCTCCCCCAAAATAATTGAATGAAACATGAGGAGGAAAAACAAATGGAGAAATTTGTGAGAATGGCTGAGACTCCATCCGCTTTTGTAAGCAGAAATAGGCAAGTTATCAGAGTTTAAATTGCCTTATAAAGTATCTTTACCACAGCGGAAGAGATGACCAGAAATGCATTTTTTTTGGCCTAAATTTCCTTTCATTTCTCCCTTGGGATCTCTCTTTCTTACTTTTTACCCCATCTTTCTGACCCTCTGGTTTTCTCTCTGGCTTTGACTATGTAGGCAATTTCAATTTCACCACACATGTGGGTCAAAACCTTATTTTAGGAATCATCATAGATGTAAGAGTACTGCTTTTTCAGAAGCAAGTAGTTTTGTGGACTGTATTCACACAGGCAAAGCCCAGCCTCCGCTACCAGGTCCTGTCTCCCAGGGCTGCTGTGGAGTCCAGAGCACAGCCTGGCAAGGCCACTGGGCCTGGCTGCCTTGGTGGTGGGCCCTTTACTGCCCAGGGCTCTCTTTATAGACTATGGATATAGAACTGATGGCTCAAAACTGTTTTATCTTGGTAAATTAAATAAAATCCAGTCCACAACACAGAGGTGAATAGGCATAGACACTGATAGGCACTCAAGTGGTAGCCAAGCTATAACTGTCTGTAAATGATCACTAGAAATGAAGAGCTCTGTGCCCCATCTCTGGTGATTTCCTAGCTAATCTCATTTACCCCTTTCCTTAGTCTGAAGGCCTACTTCCCTCTGCCATGGAGGTCCAAGCTGAAAATGCTCCTAGGCCCTCCATTCAGAACCTGAGGCAGCCCCTTCTCTGTGGTTTCCATAGCGAAGTGCTCTGTGTCCTCCTGGGACTCACATTTCTCTCGGGTTCTGTCATTCTCTGTTTCACTAAATAGACTGTATTCCTGATTCCTCCATTGTGCCTGGCTCAATCAATGTACTTTGAACAAATCTTTTTTATTTTTAATACTGTAATGTTCAAGAAATCATGGTTAGCACTCTTAATAGCTCAATGTCCACATGAGTCAAATAGACTTTGTACAGCCTAGCCTGAGGACTTAATAAACTTTTAAAAAATTGTTCCTATGGAAAAAATGCACCAGGAGTGCCAAACAACCGAATTAAAAATGAACTTTTGGAACTCAAGACTTTCAAAAGTGGAGGCTATTTAGAGAATAGTTACCTGCTTCTAATTTCTAACTGTATGAAAGGGTTCATGTTTCTGCTCCTGAGAATAGTGATACTGGAACAGCAACCAAGATGCTGCTAGACAACACTGCCAGGAGTGTGCAGAGAGAGTGGTCCCTTTGCTCCAGTCCCAGCAGCTTACTGTGCCATTAGTCCCTTCTGTTAATGACAGCCGTGTCTCAAGTGTCAAGACCTCGCGGTGAGAAAAGCTATCACAGGGCTTCAACTGTGCCAGCTGAATGAAATGCATCGATGATATTTGCTTGCATATTAGTCAGTAACTTTTCCATCAAAAGCAATGATTCTACCTTCTTTCATTCATTTTTAAATCCTTCCCTAAGTTTCTACCCTTTGTACTCACCGGATTTTTTGTTGTTTTTGAGAGGGGTATCAATACCGATTTCCAGGGAATGAGAGCTTGGAGTGACCTGCTGGTATGGTACACAGCCAGAAGCATGTGTCATTCCTTCTACTCAGTTAATTCTCCACCAATAATCCTGGATGTCCCTTAGGCAGGCGCTAAATGTGATAAATGTCAGCAAATGAACTGACTGGGCAAAACCACTAACATATTTTCAGTTGTAACCAGATCAGACTGTAACTGCCTAATCCTTAATAAATAGAGGGGGATAAAGAATTGAAATCTCCTTTGGAAATAGCTCTGTTCCATAACTTCACAGAAAAATATTATAATAAAACTTGATGTACATGGGCCTATGAAAATAGATGTTGCATTAACCAGAGTTAAATTACACACATACACACATACACACACACACAAACACACACACACACAAAGGTAAAAGGGCAGCATATTGGGCCAGAAAATAGCAATTGTCTGACATTAGATTAAAGACGGTTGAATAAACTTCTTGAGGGCAAAGATGTGCATTTATGCTTTTTGGCTAAGAGACGCAGTGTGTGGAGCATGGCTAGAAGCAGACAAACGGATCTGAATCCAAGTTCTGCTGCCTTATAGCTGTGTGACTTAGGAAAATTACCAAGCCAGTCTGCTTTCAACTTCTTCATATATAAAGAGGAGAAAATTATTAGGAATGTCATAGAGAAAGCACTTAGCACACAGTAGGTGTTCAGTAAAATGCAGGTTTCTTTCTCAGCCTTTCTTTGCACACTCTGTAACACCAAGTATGCTTACTAGGATAGCATCTATGTTCAACAATTTTCTTTCTTGATGTTTTGAATTTTTTTTCTTACTGTCTCACATGAGTTATGATTTCTCTGAAAGTTTCAACATTTTACCTTTCACACATCTTTTGTCAGGAAGCTACCAGCAGACACAGCCCACCAAAATGAGAGAGTAAATAAACAAACAAATGGAGAAACACAAGGGACCAGACACAGGGAATCTGATAAAAGGAAGAGTTGAAGGGATTCTCAGGACAGTGGCACGAAGGCCTGGGATGACAGCTGTAGCAGCAGGCTCAGAGACCAGCCCTTGGGATTGTCGCTGGGGATGGAGGGCTGCTGGGGAGATGTGCCCAGGAAAAAATGGAGCAAACAGATGATCTGATAGGAATTACAGTGTCGAAAATGTATTGAGAGATGTTTTACTGAGCTGTTGGATGGTATGAGGAGACTTAGCCAGAGAGTCTAAGAAACTTCATAAGTGAAAAAAAAGTTAGACGCTTAAGTCCTGAAAAGGAATTATAGTTACAGTGTACTATTAGTCTTAGCAGTAAACATTCTTTATGTCTTCATAAACCTGAACACATTGATATAGCCTTAAGCAAATTTTTGACATCACCATATTGTGATAAAGCGGGAAAGGGAGAAAGGGTTGGAAATAGAACTAATACCTTCATCCATTATAAGAAGAGGCAATAGATATTGCCTAAAATTCATAAATCAAGAGGTATCAGGTTTGGATGAGTTTAGAAATGTGATGGTAAATACCAGAAGATGCAACCCAAAATGATGAAAGTGGTTTCCTCTAGAGACAAAGAAGGGTGAGGGAAGAGGGGCCAAGTAATAGCTTTTGCATTTTACCTCTATTTGTCTTCTTAAATTATTTGCATGTGTTGCTTAGATAAAAATAAAAATTAAATTTAAAAATGAGGACAGTAATTGCATTTTAGAGTCATAAAATTCAGAATTATAGGATAAAATTGTAACAAAGGAAGTAAATCATGTCCGATTACTAAAGGTAAAATACTCAGCAACAAGTTTGGGTCCAGAATTCATGTGTTGTCATCTCTTATTCCCATGCATCCCCCACTTATGACACTTCTCATAGCAGCTGGCATGGGTTTCTGTATACGGGAGGTGCTTAAATATTCGTTGAATGATAAATAACTATACCAATTGTTGAATTTTTTCATGGTGATTTTTAATGAGCTTGGTCTGGACAGCTGAGGGGGTCATAGCTGAAGTTTATATTTTTGTTCTATTTGGAGGGATAAGATTATAGCTTAAAAGGACTTTTGAAAAACTCTCCCTGAAATCTGATTGTGAGGTAGACATTCCACAGGTCTAATCTACTTTACACAATGCCTGGGTTTGCCAGAGATTCATTGCAGACAATTCATATTTGAGTGAGGCAGTCTAATGGGAATTTTAATTATGCATTCCTATAGGATTTCTAAACTCTATTCTTGGGACAAGCCAGAACTCTCATTTGAAAACTCGGTCCTGAAGGAACGTAAGGTTCCGGGGAAGTGCCTTAGGAAAACTCTGAAAAGCAGGAAGGGATAAAAGAAGTATTCTTGTTAAAACAAAGTGTGAAAAGCAGTGAAACAGAGCTTCAGAAAATATTACGTCTGTACCACATTATCTCAGCTTCCCAGGGAAAAGTGTTTGCTGAATTAAAATGTAGTATTTTGGCCTCGGATTTTACGATGCGGCTTAATAACAGAAACATCACAGTAAACAGTGTCATGGTGTCTTTGCAAAATTTCCAGTGGAAGATGTCTGTCATGTTACCTAATTCCCCCAAAGATAAATGCACCTTTGAATTCATTTCCAGGAGAAAGTTTGCCTCCATTGATGAACTTACACACTTTCTTTTATATTAGAAAATAAAAAAGAACACTCATATCCCTATGTCATTTCTTTCTGCCTCAGTTGCCTGGAAACTCAGAGTTAAATGAGAGCTCAGTTTTGGAAGTCACCCATTGCAAGTGTCTGCTAACATTTAATTTGGATTGTTTTAATGGATTTGGTTCCAATGGTCCTTATTTTGCAAAGAGAAGAAAGCTAACACTTGTTAATTGCCTACAAGGTGCAGGCTCTATGTGTTGT